GATTTTATTTATTTAAATCCTTTATATATGCAATTCTCTTGTATTATAGAAACATCTTCAAAGTACAGTTCATTCAAGTTTCTAATACTTATTAATATTTTTGGAATTATTTTATTTTTAACAGAAGACTTACTAAAGTCTATTATATCTTATATACAGCTAATCTAGTTTTATATAATATGTTATAATTATCTAATACTTACAGTTATAAGAGATATCTTTTTAATACTATACTATACTATTTCTATTTTTATAAGGTTTATTAAAATTCTAGTACTTATTTTTTTGATATTTTTTCTATCATTTTTTACTAACTGCTATTCAGAACTAACAGACTCTGTTTTGACTATTAATTCAAATAATCTGATATGGTATATTTTTGTATTTTTTTTTCTAACAAAATCTAGCAATCTGATTAGTCATATGCTTTTCTATACATATTTTATATTTAATTTTATCTAATCTATTCTTTTTAAGATAGTTTGTGAGCTTTAATTAGTTAGATGATATTATTAAAAGTTCATACTATTTATTTACTTAAAAAATTTTAAATGAGTTTTTGGCTTTCAATTTTTAGTTGTTTATATCTGATAGTTTTATTATAAGTTTGCATTATAGTCTTATATAATATTAGTTAGGAAATATTTCTCTATGTATATATAATATTATACTTTATATAAATAATCTAAATTCTTAATAATGAGTAAAAACTGACTTAGTGTACTTGGATTACAGCTATATGAGACCAACTGATTAATAAAAAACAGTTATTATAATATAATTGTTTTTTAAATTTTATTATAAATAAGATTTGAACATTAGATTTGTTATTTAGAAAATAATATCTTAACTACTATATTAAAATTACTATTCTCACAATATTCTAAAAATATTTTAAAAAATTTATTATTTAAATAAAAATATTTTATAAATTAATATTTAAATTTTTAATAATTTTTACATTATTTAATTTATTTTATTAAAATGAATCTAATAATATAAAAATTTTCAAATTTAATCTAATATATAATAAACTTTTACTAATTATATAATTTCTTATTTTTCTTATATTTATTTTAATAAAAATTTAAATTATAATTAATTTTAATTAATTTGCTTAATAAATATAAAATAATGTTATTTATACTATTATTTTGCTATTTATATTATACTAAATACTAAAATTTTATTAATTTTTTTAATAAACTTGTTTTTATAATTATAAATATTAGCTAAGAAGTTTTTAAAATATTTTTTAGCTAAAAATTTTAACTATTATAACTAAAAAGTTAATAAAATTTTAGTATTTAGTATAATGCAAATAGTAAAAATAATAATACAAATAATAGTATTTTAAATATATTCTTTTTAAATAATTTTTAAATTGTTTTAAAATTAAAATTTTTATTACATATTAAAAATAAATAAATAAATAAAATTTAATTTATAAATTATTTTATTTTATTTATTTAAAGAATTTCTATTTTTACTTTTTATTTTTACTAATATTATCTCTTTTAAATACAAAAAAAATATTTTTAAAAAAATATAATTATTAAGTAAATCTTTTAATTAATATTAATTAAAGTTATTTATTAAGTTTTTTTTAGTTTTAATAATAATATTATTATTAAGATTAAACTAGTAAAAAGTGTGGTAACTTAGTGAAGTAGGTAAATTGTTAATCTCTAAGTAGTAGATTGTAAGTTCAAAACCTACTGATAACAAAAAATTTGGATAATCATTTATGTAATATACAAATGATATTATAATAATAGCATTCTGTCAATTAGTTAAAATAATATATTTGTAACTATAGTTATGCCAGTATAACTGGCAAATTATGGAACATCTGTGCAATGTTGAAGTTACATGAAGAAATGCAAACTGGCATTGAATAATGCAAACCCAAAATAGGTACATGTAGTTATGTAAATTTATAGAACTGAAAAACTAAAGCTCATTTGAGAAAGATTTGAGTAAAGAGATAACACAGATCTTTAATAGTACTATTGTAAAAACTAAACCTAAAAAATAAATATCAATGTAAAAGAAATCAGGTAGGCAAGAACCTCAAATAAGAGATATTACTAATCAAGCTATCAGAAGTCTTAAACTAAAGAAAAAGAATTTTGAAAAGTAGACTCTAAGATATCAGAGACAGGTTACAGTTCTTCTGAGCTATCTGAATTAGGTGTCTGAAAACTAAAGCAAGGTATAAACTAAGTATTAGAGATATGCTATAAAGTAAGTACTAGGGTCTGGATGAACTTTACAAGAGCAAGTCTTGTTAACAAAAATTAAATATAAGTAGTTAGTTAACAGAAAGGTCTTCTGAAACCTTACAGTTAAGTAACATATTCTGAAATGTGTAATGGCTTAACAAACATATAGACAGAAAAGTCAAGATTAGTTTAAACAACACTTTAGTATACAGATATTTGTGCATTATCTGTTAATATAGTATAAAGATTATTTTGTACAAGTTATATAACTATAATTAAATTTACAATAAAGACAATAACTGTCAATAACTAACAGTCTTAGCAAAAACAAAAAAAAAATTAGACTAATAGTTCTTAAAACATTTATATTTAAATTTTATAATCTTTAATTTACTTTTAAAAAAGAATTATTAGTTTGATTTTAATACTTATATTATTATTAGAATTAAAAAAAATTAATAAACAACTTTAATTAATATAAAAAAAGATTTACTTAATAATAATATTTCTTTCAAAACACTTTTATATATTTTGAAATAATATTAACAAATATAAAAAATAAAAATAACAATACTCATTATTTATTATATAATTTTTTTAAAATATAAAACTAGCTAACTTAATTTTTTATTTTATTTTTATATAAAAAACTATTTTAATTTACTTTTTCTTTCTTTAAATATACCAAATTTTAAAGATATGTTAACTTAATAAAATAGATAAGTTATTAACCTCTCAAATAATAGATTAAATATTCAAATTTTATTAATGATAAAAGCTTAAATAATTATTTATATAATATTTATATTATAAAAACTGTTTTTATAATTGAGTTAAGATATCTGTAATAACAATTATATCAATATAACTGATAAGTTATAAAGTGTCTGTATAAGTATAATATTATACAGAAAAATGCAAACTAGTATCAAGTAATGATTTGAACTGAAAAAAATTTTCTTAATCAGTTAACCAAACTGAAATATTTTATACCAACCAATTTAACTAGTTAATATTTATTTTATACTTTACTTTTAGAAAGTTTCAAACCTTTACTCAAATTGTTGACCTTTTCAGAATTCTTGTTCATTTTATCTGATTATTGATTTTTAACTGATTATATAGGTCAACTAATTAAGAATATACTCAACTGATTATATAAAATTTATTCAGTTCAGATCAGTTAACTGATTATAGTCCAACTGGTTCAAATTACTAGTATTAAGTAATACAAACTTTAAACAAGTTTTTATAATATATAAATTTATTAAAATTAAAAAACAAAAAATCTATTAAAAAAATTTAAATAAAGAAATAATACAAAATTTTGATAACACTACTATAAAACCTAAATCTAAAAAACAAATACCAATCTTAAAATATCTAAACAAACAAAAACTTTAAATAAAAAATATTATTAACTAAATTATTAAAATAAGCTAAAAAAAAAAATCAAATTAACTTAATATACTAATAAATTATTATAATTCTACTAGATTATCTGAATTAGAAATCTAAAAACAAACATATACTAAAAATATATTATAAAATAATAACTAATCTTAACTATAAATGTTAATTCTACCATAATAATACCTAAATTAACTATAAAAATAAATACAAAAGACTGAAAATTTTACTTCAAAAATAAAGAGAATTGCTATTTTCACTTTTATTTTTGCTAATATCATCTTATAAAATATATAAAAATATTCTAAAAAAGATATTATTATCAAGTAAACCCTTTTTTTGATATTAATTAAAGTTGTTTATTAGACCTTTCCAGTTCTAATAGTGGTAAAATTATTAAAATCAAACTGGTAGTTTTTTTTTTTAAAAAAATAAATTAAAGATTATAAACTTTTATATAAATATTACAAAAACCACTGGTCCAAACTTAATGATTTTACCATTATTAGAACCAAAAAACCTAATAAACAACTTTAATTAATACCAAAAAGAAGATTTACTTAATAAAATATCTTTTCCAGAACACTTTTATGTATTTTAAGAAGTGACATTAGCAAAAATAAGGAATGAAAATAGCAATTCCCAAATAAAATAATCTTAAAGTTGAAATGATAACCTGAATATAATCCAATAATATTAACACAAGTTTAGGTTCAAAAAATTTAAAATAAAACATCCAAACAAGAATGTTAAATACAACAATTGGTAAAAAACCTTCAAGTAAACTCCTTAAATAGAAAATATAAAAAAATTACACATATAACCAATTGTACACTCTTCCTGTAATGGTTCATAAAATTACATTACCAAAAAAATTATTAATAAAAATCAAAAAAACCAAAAAAGTCACCTTAAAAAAAAACAAAAAAAAAAAAATTAGATTTTAGTTATACATTGTTCGTTTTTTTAATTTTAACACTAAAATACCTGTCTTCTTGAATTATAAACTCAATTACCTATGATCTTCTATAAAAATTCGTCTCTTATAAAACTTTTTAAGACTTGTGATTAATTTTAACAGACTATAGGTATTTGAAGGCTCTTTCTGTTGCTAAGTTTTTTAACGGGTTTAATTGGATAAGTTTTAAAAATTCACGACAAAAAAAGTACTTTAAAGCATATAAAAAAGTAAAAAAAAATTTTATTAAATCGAATATCGGTTTGTCACTACTAATATATCACATGAACAAGCAGCAAAGTACTCTTAAAGTTATGATATGTTGTACCCCGGGTAAGAACTTGCAATTTGGCTCAAATTATAATGAGTTTTCCTAAACTCTAATTCTAACACTAAAACCCTTGAAATTAATCTGCGTTGCTAGAACTTTCAAGACTTTTTGAATTGCATTCCTTTTCGGTGCGTATGATAGATGATGACTCAGTTTGCGTAGATTGTTTAAAGTAAGATATCAGAGATGACTGATTTGACGATATCACAGACTTTTGCCTTTGTTTATGTCCTCCAAATTTTATAGGCTTAGACATCATTAATTTATTTGAAGATTTTGAATTTTTTTTTCTAAAATTGTCAATATTAAAGTCAGCATTTTTTGATTTCGATAAATTATCACACGGTGTCTTTATAACATCTGATCCATTTCTTGATTGAGAATTATCATCTTTCGTGCTTGCTTTGCTAAAAAAGCTTTTTAGCGTTCGTTGACTTCCGTTAAATTTTGGCAAATATTTAGCACAAAGTCGTGGCGTCTCAGGCTTTTCATGATTTATATTCGTCGATAAATTGAGTTCGTTTCTAAGAATATATTTATGACCATCCTCTTCAATTTCATCATATAATTCACCAACAACAGGACAGTGATCTGATCCCATAATTTGTTGCTCAACAGAACAAGACTTGAACCATTTCACTAAGCCCTGACTGACAAGTATATAATCTAAACGCGTTCCTGATGAGTAATAAATAATAATTTATTAGAGATAGAGCTTGCCGATGATTGAATATTATAAATAAACACTTTATGAATTGTTAATTACCATAGTTTGATGGTCTTTGGAAATTTGAGAAACGTTGTTAATAACAACTTATACAGTAAAAATATTATATCAGGATATTACTATTACCTCGCGTTAATCAAAGTATTCCAACCTATAATTATTAATATCAATAGGTATCATGTGACTTAGTAAATTTATTAAATATTTCACTACGGACTCACATGTGTACATTCCCTCCTCATCTGGGTGAAACTTCCGAAACAAATCTACCATGGGACCATTTGGTGCAACAAATCCATCAAACCACTTTCTAGCAGGATGGTCATCGAATGATTCTAATTCATATTCTCTGACTGATCGCTGCGGATCGCAGTGATCAATCTCTTTGTGCGTTACATTCATATCGCCTAATATAATTACCTGTCTACCTGCTCGTAGTAAAGCTTCTACACGAGCTTGCAGAATTTTATAAAAATTCATTTTAAAAGGAAGACGTTCGACACTAGATTCGTGGGGACAGTACAAATTGAATAAAATGAACATTTTAAAGTCCAAAATAACACATCGACCTTCAGAATCAAGGTCCAAGAGTTCATCGGTAGTAAGATCACTTATTTCAGAACATATTCTGGTGTCGGACAGCGACTGATTATTGTCAAACGGAGACTTCATATTTGCAGGGGGCTGATTAATAATGCCCGTAATACCTTCTTCAGCAGCCACTGGTGTGATTAAGTTGGTTTTTACATAAGTGACAACCCCAGAATATGCAGGTTTTCCTTTAGCAAAGGAAAAATACGCGTCATATCCGGGAATAATTGCTATTGATGAATCCAAACGGTCCAAAGTTAATTTTACTTCTTGGAAGCATATTATATCTGCATCGAGAGTTTCTAAAAGGATCTAAACAAGTCGAAAATCATATGAAATTATAGTTGAACCAACCCGAAAAAAAGGTAAACAACGAACCTGATAATTTTTGTGCTCACACCAACTAAAACAGTAAAATACATATTAACAATATGAACTGAATTGTTTAGCTTAGATACATATAAAACACTAATACAAGCTTACGGGTGATACTGAATGAGAGATCTCAAGCCATTCACATTCCAAGTAAGTAAACGCATACTTTAATAAATGTATTTCGGAAAATGACTCACTACCCCAGTAAATCGTGAACTTCCAAATTTTTATGAGGTCGGTAGAATCACATGATTTTAATACCGGAGAGATTTACGCACGAAAAAATTCTGTGCCAGGTTGGTGGCGCAGCAAAATTGTTTAAAGTTCATTAATGTTCGGGTTAACGTTTAGAATAAAGTTAAATGCTGAATAGTTATATAGTAAAATTGCTCAAGGAAAACCTTCTGTTAGAGCACTAAAAGTGGTTTTTTATGCAGTTTTTGAGAAATAAGCAATCTTTGACAAAACGAACGTTTGGTTTGAACTTTTCTGATCGTGTTACGTTACACCAGATCCTTGAAATATGATTTGTAGAACCTGGCACAGAATTTTTTTGTGCGAGATTTACTCCAGTATCGCCATCAAAATTTTCACTCCACGTGATATATGTAGTACAATGTATAAGTTGATCGACAATATGCATTTATTCGAATATATGTAAAACATCAAATAATAATAAAAAACAAGAAGATTGATATCAAGTGCTAATAATAAAAAATTATAACATTCAACTTAGCTAAATAAACATAATACAGTAATATAAAAACAAGCAATATTTAAATTAAATAGATTATTAGTAATTAATTAAAAAATAAAGTATTATATGAATGACCTTTAAATATATGAGGCATTATTCTTCTATATTTGTAAGAAGCAATTTCAGATGTCATTTGTTCTATCGCATTAAAGTTTTTTTTAATTGTTTTTGCTTATTTAAAATTCTTTTTATTTTGTTGATCCTTAAGAATTTCTAGTACTTTTTCAGTTACTGTTATAAGTCAGATATACAATTCTTTACATACTTATGAATCTTCTTCATTAGCATTTTGACAATTTATTTTTGATTGTTCAATGTTACTTATTAATGTCATAGGTTGTTTAATAGTACTAACTTGTATAGATGAAATATCAATAAAGAGATACTAGTGGTTATGATGAACTTGGTTAAAAAATTGTATAGTTACTTCTCTCTTTTGTTGTATAAGATGTTTACAAATAAGAAATCAATTTAACAAGAATACAGAACAGTTGCAAATCCATTTATTAATATTTGTTAAATATATATTATTAATAGTTTGATCTACAAGATATTTTCATTTCTTTTTAAATGCTTTTTGCCACTTAGTATATTTTTGTTTAACAATAAACATCTGCTCAAATTTTCTTTATTAATTTGGTATTATCTGTGTCATAATAATAAATACAACTAAATCTAAGCATGAGTAAAAAAACTTGTATAAAAAATTCCAATTTAAGACTTTTCAGTATGTTTCAACAAATATATTAGTCTTAAAAATTGAAAGCTTATTTTTACATGTACTATGAAATCACAAAGCCTAATGCTTATAACAGTACTATTTATTCCACATATATACCCAGAGCTATGATAAGAAATGTTGTTGACAAAAATTATAAAATTCTTATATACTCATAGTCCAAATCATAGTTGAAGAAAGAAATTGACCATCACTTGTTAGAATAAGCAGGTAAAGATACAAATACTTATTCATAATATTCTATATAGTTAAACACAATTTTTGAGCAAAATTGAATTTTATTATCATTTAAATTTAGTTAAAAGAATAGATCAATAAAAGAAAAATATTAATGTGCTATTACATTATTATAGTTAATGGTTTGAGATTTTTTATTATTTGCCAATCTATTTTCAATAATTCTTTTAATATGTTAAAAATACAGTTGAATTTTAATATCCTTTTAGACATATTTAGCAACAGATATTTGCAAAAAGTCTTTATCTATTATAAAAAATTCAGACTCAAGTCCATGCATCTTTAATTGCAATAAAAAATCAATAATAATGCTGGCTTGAACACTATTACCACAATTACTATTGTTTTCTAAAAATAAGTATGCTAATAAGAAATCAGTTCCATCAATTTCAACTTGTACAACATATAATTCGAACTTTAAATTATTCATATTGTCTAAATTTCAAATAAAAAAAATAAATTATATATTGTAATATTATAGATATTTTTAAACATTATTTTATATTATTTTATTGATATTATATTAGTTTTATATTAT